TTGCTACAATAATAACATATTTGGCAACGATAAAGTAACCTTTTGCTACAATTTTGTGGCGGTTACAAGACATTTATTAACAATAACAAAACATTCAATGACAAAGTATTATTTTGCAACAACATACTAGTAAACGTATCGTTTTAATATTTGCCAACAATCGTATATTTGGCAAGTACAATCCCGTGATGCAATTGGGCACTAGCTCCAAATGGGGCGAAAACGGTGCAAAATGGTGCGTAATTATTTTCGCGATATTGGATTATTTAAGTAAACATGGCGGAAAATGAGAGAGCTTCGGCGTCAGATGATATTCAATCATCTCTACTGCAGGCTAGATATATAATTGTACAGCTACTGGATGGTGTGGCCAATTCACCACAAAATACATCTGCAAATACTGCAGCTGGTCTCTCAAAATTTCAAATTTTGGTCTACTAATTGGCATTGACCTTAGGATGATTCCCAATGTTTCCGGTCCGTAATTTTCTTTATTCAAAATAGGACGTTGTATGACATCTACGAGAAGTCTGGCCTGATGTGGCAATTCGCTGTAAATTTCGGGATTTCGTGCTGTCAGATTTGCTAGGCATCGATAAAGGTCTTCCGAAAAATCGCGAATACGATCAATAACATCATCAAGCTCTGTTGAAAGGCATTCCGTTACATCAGTCAATAACATTTCCAATCGCGTTTAAGAGCTGTTCGTACTCCGTTTTCTTCGATATCTTGATCGCCATTTTGTGTGAAAATAATTACGCGCCATTTATGCACCGTTTTCGCGCCATTTGGAGCTAGTGCCCAGTTGCATCACGGGATTGTACTTGCCAAATGTACGATTGTTGGCAAATATTAAAACGATACGTTTATGTTGTTGCAAAATAATACTTTGTCATTGAATGTTTTGTTATTGTTAATAAAAGTCTTGTAACCGCCACAAAATTGTAGCAAAAGGTTACTTTATCGTTGCCAAATGTGTTATTATTGTAGCAAAATGTTACGTTATCATTGCCAAATGTGTTATTGAATTTTGACACACATCACCCGCCATAGTATATAGCTTAAGTTTTTGGTTCACGAAACACAAACAGTGCTCAATACCATATAGATAGAGCGTAATATAGTTTTTCGTTTTACCTCAAAAACCACAACAGTCTGTTTCATCCATAGAAATATTAGACCTATTGTCTATTATTTCTATGGTTTCATCCGACGATTCCTGTACGAATGAAACAGACTGTTGTGGTTTTTTTGAGATAAAACGAAAAACTATATATATCATGCACAAATTATGTAAATGCTCATTTCCACTCAAGTAGTCAAGAACATTTTCTTGAGTGAAAATGGACCTTAACGTTAACAGTTCAAGATGCTGGTAAACTTTGCTATTAGAGTTACTAGTTGTTGAGATTGTCATGTAGTATGTTCACTGAGGGAATACAATTATTCGTTGTTGTGTTCGTATACTATAATACTAGACATGTTATTTATCTCAGATAATTAAATTATCTGAATGACATTTCCATGGTTCTGGGTCATTTTCATCATGTTGTGAAGAATTTATTTAGGGCCTGAATTTCAGGTTAGGAATTTATATGAGCCCCGCCCAGCGCCTAACCTGCGAACGGGCATACTCTGGGTACGAGTTGAAGTAAAACACAATTAACTAATTAACCTATAAAGGCCTAAATATTTTACAATTGATAACGATATGGAACGTTTTCATTGCAAAACTTGACAGTTTAACTTTTCTGGCCTGGGTACGAGATTGGTTACCCCACACCACAGAGTAAATACCATACAGATATCTCACTTTTTATTAATTTCAGCGGATGGGATTTTTCTACCCTGGGTGCCAGAGGTTTTCAAGTTTTTAAAGGTCTTGAGATCCCTAGCTGGGCCGGATACTTTCTGAAGGCTCTGGAACCCAGGGTAGGATTTTTCCAGTCCGCATTAGCAAGTGCCCTAAAGGGAAGCCGTCATTCTCTTGAAAACATATTGAAATTTAATGTTCCAGGGGAGCGAATCCCTCTTTTTTGGGCACTTGCTTCTTCGCCCAAGTGAGACCTCTGTATGTAATTACTCTGTGCTCTGGGTACGAGATTGCTATTCAGAGGTTTCGTTTTGGATTTTTTTATTAATTCGGTTAGGATTAGGGTTAGGGTTAGAGTTAGGATTGCGGTTAGGGTCGGCCGTCGGGGGTTAGAGTAGGGGTAGGGTTTGGGTTGGTCACATTGCTATTTATAAACACTCTTCTATCTGATTGTTTCTGTGTTGGTGTAATGTACTCAGGTGAATATGATGTTTGTGATGTTACTCTGAGTGTATATCCACACCGGGCAAGCTTGAAAAATATGCCTGACCACGGTGGGAATCGAACCTACGACCTTTGGAATGCTAGCCCAATGCTCTGCCAACTGAGCTACGCGGTCTGGTCGGTTCGAGTATGTGATATTTCGGAACAGAATCTAGTTCCTTCGATATCAATGTAAACCACCGTGGTCAGGCATATTTTTCAAGCTTGCCCGGTGTGGATATACACTCAGAGTAACATCACAAACATCACTCTTCTATCTTCCGAAAATGACGTCAGGTCAGTTTGCTGGATGGAAAATAGTGCTAACCATATTGATCTCCTATATCTATGATTGACTCGTTTGAGTGTTTGACATTTGTACGTCTTCCGAGTGTCAGTAATTAAAATTTAAAGACGAGTAAAGCGAAATTTCTGGCTTTTAATCTTCTCTAGAAGTTTGTGGCAAAATGTTGTTGGAAGGTTTGTTTATTTGTGGTCAAAACGAAGCAATTCCATTAAAAAGTCTTTCCGTACGAGCATTTCTACAGGGCTATGTAGTAGGATTTCGCTCGACGTTGACCTATGACAACAACACCTCTAATCCACTCGAAGTATTTTTCCGTACGCCCGTCGACGATTCTTACGCCGTCGTTGGTTTAGAAGCCTGCATCGATGGCAGAAAGATCCGAGCAGAGATCCAGGAAAAGGAAAAAGCGAGGGAGATGTACCAGGAAGCTATATCAAGAGGGCGTACAGCCGCTTTTGGGGAAGAAAAAAAGGGTGACATATTTAGTTTAGTTCTGGGTAATCTCCCCCCGGGCGAGAAAGCTGTGATACAACTCACGATGGTCGGCGAGCTGGCTGTTGAACCTGATGGAGCAGTACGGTTTGTTCTACCAACGGTACTAAAACCCCGGTACACACCTCCTGGAAGTACAGATCCCCTAGCACCAGAAAATCCCACTTCAGGAAGTGGCCCAGTTCACCATGCTACAGGACCCCCAGAATATAAATTTGACATGGTGATCAATGGAGCTCCTGGTATTGCAAATGTGACATCGCCATCCCACGAAATTCATGTTGAAAATACTGGTCAGAATATTAACGTTTCATTGGCTGAAGATAAACAAACAGATATAGTCATTCTGGTTCAACCAAAGGAAGCTCATAAACCTTTGGTAATCGTTGAACCTGGTTTGTCAAATGGTGAAAACGATTTCCAGAAAAACACGGTCGTCATGGTCAGCTTCTTCCCAGAATTCAAAGGTGACACCTCATGTCTCCAAGCTGCATGTGAATTTGTGTTTGTTATTGATCGCAGTGGAAGCATGGCTGGTTCTTACATCCAAGATGCATCCCAAACACTCTTGCTATTCCTAAAAAGTATCCCTGAAGGTTGTTATTTCAATGTGATTGGTTTTGGAAGCAGTTATGAACATCTGTTTCCCGAGAGTGTGGCCTACAATCAGAAAAATTTGGAGATTGCAGTAAAACACGCAAAAAACCTGCAAGCAGACCTTGGTGGCACAGAACTTTTTGACCCTCTCAAGGACATCTTCAGCCATGCACCCATGAAAGGCTTGCCGAGACAAGTATTTGTTCTCACGGATGGAAGTATTGGTAATACAGAATCTGTGATTAAGTTGGTCGCAAAGAATTCCAATAACTCCAGGTTTGTTTATGTTTTTTTTGCTAAATGGGTAATTTGATGCAAATACCCTTGAACCAACAAGTTGCGTCACAGGTCACCCTAAAAAAATATCAGAACTGACCATTTTGAAAGGAACAGACTGTGAGGAAGTGGACACAGGCTAACTGTGTGGACTTAGTAATGAGAGACAAGCCGGGTGTTAGCCAGGTGGCCGTCTGACCGTCCTATGGACGGCCACTTCTGAATTTGGACGGCTAAATTTTAATGGACGGCCTAAGGGAATACCTTCTTTAAATAGCAACCTACAAGCTTTGTAATATTTCTTGAATACTTTGCACCATAATGTTGTAAAACGCGCCATGTTTTTGTAACCATTTTGATGATTCTCGCATGAAGTATCAAGGAGAATAATGTGAAATCGCTGTTTTAAAAAACAGTAATCGCTTTATCGCTTGAGCGCCATATTACAGTTACGGTAGCACTTGATCATACCATATGTGTGCTTTTACTAATTTAATGATGGAAATTATGTGCATCTAAAACTAAAAGTAAAAAGGTTCAACGAATAGAAGACCACAATTCCTCAACAACAGAAAATTGCGGCCACCCCAAAAAACATGTGACCACGCCCACAAAAATATGTTGCCACGCCCGCAAAATTATTTTGGACGGCCACTTTTGAAATCCTGGCTAACACCCTGGAGACAAGGTCATGGCCTTTGTAGCTAGGAGGGCCCTGGGGCAGGGTTGCTGGTCAAGGTGACCAGCCAACTCAATTTTAGCTCAGACATGCCGAATGTCGAACCTACGACCTTTGGAATACTATCCCAATGCTCTGCCAACTGAGCTACATGCCTAGTACATGGTCAGGTCAACTGACCATTTGTCAAAATGACCGGCAAGGTAAGAATTTGACTGGACAACTCTGCATTCTAGCCGGACATTGTCCGTTGAGCGGCTGTTACTTCACGTCCTGCCTTTGGGGAATGCTCCTACATTTAGAACTACCTAATTTTGGAAAATGGGAGGCTTTAGGATGACCCTTGTGTTGCATTGCACCATACTTTATTATTTTACTCTGTCTAATACCAGATGATTTTATTTATCAAGGGGGGAGTGCTGGTGCTCAATGGGTCAATTAAGATATCAATTAATTTACCAAATAATTTTATATTTTTTACTTTTGAGGGGATTGAATTTTAGAGGTGTTTTTTGAATTTTTTAAAAAAATTGCTGCGATTCCCCTTTGCGTTTGGCTGACCAAAGTTTTAAAATTTTTCAAAACATGTTTTTGTCTGTCAAATGTAATTGTTTTGATAAAAGAAATGCTCTTTTGACAAGAAAGTTTGGAGCAGGTTTGGCTATATATATTTTTTTTATTTCTATACTATATTTATTTGAATAATTTTCTTAATTTATTTTTCCCAAAGGTGTTTCTCATTTGGTATTGGTTCTGGAGCTTCATCAACTCTGGTGAAAGGAATTGCAGAGGCTGGCAAAGGCGCTGCAGAGTTTATCACCTCAGGAGAGAGGATGCAAGCTAAGGTAACGTTGGCTAAAAAGAACAAAAATAAAGAGATTAGCCTTTACAAAATAACAAAACGTGGTCAAAAATGGCGAAATGGTTAATTAAGTCCTGAACTTTCGTGCAAACAATAGAGACTTTACGATTTTAGGACGGCAACGACAACGGCCAAAACAAACTCCTTCAAATAAATGGTGGTAAAGATAATTCGTCGCATATTATCAATCGTATGAATTTAATACAGTCTTAGAAGTTGAAGACATGGGTTTTATGTTTGGGGAGAGTTCTGCTGAATCCAGTTTGAAGTTGCACTTGTTGCGTCTTGGAATGCAGCCGTTGTATCAAGACGTGAAAATCTGTGATTTGGCGTTGTAAACAGAGCGAGAACAATGTCTAAATTATTCATGTATTGTAATTATTCAATTCTTTTCAATGATCTTTTGTATTGGTAGCCGTCGCCGTCCTAAATCGTAAGGTCCCTAATATTTTAGGCTAACACCCTCTCTGGCCAAAGGCTGAACGCGGTCAAAAATGGCCAAAAGGTAACCGCCTTCACTTTTTTGAGGCCAGAGTTACCGGGGTCAGTTACTGTAGTCAACCATTTACTGTCTGTCTTTGTCTGAATAACATAATAATTTATTAACAGGTGATCCGATCACTAAAGAAAGCCATGCAGCCAGCAATTACCAACACCAAAGTCTCTTACACAGTTCCTGATGGTGTGACAGTCACTGCTGTACCCAAAAGTTCTCTGCCAGCAATATTTATCGGAGAACGTTTGATCGTCTACGCCATCCTTCATCAAAACTCGCCGCCTACTGAGGTACAAGAAGGATCGATATGTTTGAGCGGAGATTTACTCGGAGCGAAAGTTGAACACAACATGAAGTTTCAAATTCCAGCTGCCGTGACGAGAGAGCACATGTTGCAAGTCTCGACCATTCATCATCTTGCGGCCAAAAAGTTGATCAAAGGAATGGAATTGGATCTCCAGAGTGGTCAGACGAACTCGTACATAATCCAGCTCAGTTGTGATGCGAATGTCATATCTTCCCAAACAGCATTTATCGCCATTGATGAAGAACGGAAGGAGGTGGTGAAAGGAAGCTTGGAAACTTGGGATATTCTGCCTGCTGACGAGTTGTGTTATGCTTTTTCTCCTATGGCTTGTTCCAGTCCGCCTGGGCGTGTGATGGCAAGGATGAGTGGTGGTGGTTATGATGATAGTGGTAGTGATGAGTGTGTTGCTTTAGGAGCGAGTGCGCCTCCGCCTCGTTCAAAAAAGAAATCGTTTGGATTTTCTATGCCGAAGATATTTAAAGGTGCTAGAACAAAGTCTGCCGCAAGTGCGCCATCTGTGGATTGTGTCAGTGAAAAGTGTCCACCATCTTATGGTAGTGACGTTGTTGTAGAGCGAAAGATTCCTACTCCAACGAGTCCGCTTACAGGTGTCATCAACCTTCAACTGGCCAGCGGTGCTTGGAAAATGTCAGCAGAGATGGCAGGTGTGATGGCTAAATCCACGGCAGAGATTAAAAACGCGTGTCCAGTGCGTTGCGAAGGTGATATGGAAACAATCTGGGCGACGGTGATTGTCTTGATGTATCTGCAAATTCGACAGTCAAATTTCAGAGATGAATGGGAGTTGATTGCTGGAAAGGCTCAAACATGGCTGGCAAAACAGAAGCTTCCTGAAGGTTGTTCCGTTCAAGTTTTGCGTGAAAAAGCAATGGCATTTCTTTCTTGACTTTATTTAACATTACTGTTGAGTGTTGCTAAAAACGATCAAATATATATATATATATATATTAAACATAAATATAATAAAACATAAACATAATAACAACAAAAGGGGAACAAAAAGGGGCACAAAAATAATATAAACATTATATATATATATATATATATATATATATATATATATATATATATATATATATATATATATATATATATATATATATATATATATATATATATATATACTATTTAAAACACGAGTAGGAGTATTTTATCAGATGTATAACGCAAGGCGCAGCCGAGCGTTATATATCTGATAAAACACGACAACGAGTGTTTTGAATAGCTTAAAATACGAATACAAAAGAATACTAATTAGGATGAACCATAGTATAATCATGCTAATTAAGATGAACAATTATATAATGCCACATGTGTTTTATCAGATATAAAGTCACTGCTCGTGACATATTATGGCTGACATGATTTGCCACAAGGTTTATGAATTATTAATGAGTATTTTAAATATATATATATATATATATATATATATATATATATATATATATATATATATATATATATATATATATATATATATATATATATATATATATATATATATATATATATATATATATATATGCTCATTTCCACTCAAGTAGTCAAGATATATGCTCATTTCCACTCAAGTAGTCAAGAACATTTTCTTGAGTGAAAACTGAAAATGGACCTTAACACTTCAAGATGCTGGAAAACTTTGCTGTTACAGTTACTATTTGTTGAGATTGTCATGTAGTATGTTCCCTGAAGAAATACAATGATTCGTTGTTGTGTTCATATACTAGACATGTTATTTATCTGAATGACTTTTCCAGGGTTCTGCGTCATTTTCATCACGTTGTGAAGAGCTTATATGAGCCCCCACCCCCATACGGCGAGAATCAATGGACATGCCCAGCACCTAACCTGCGAACGGGCATACTCTGGGTACGAGATTGAAGTAAAACACAAATAACTAACCTAAGGCTTAAATATTTTACAATTTATAACGATATTTATCGTTTAGAGTGTTTTTATTGCAAAACTTGACAGTTTAACTTTTCTGGCCTGGGTACGAGATTGGTTACCCCACACCACTGAGTAAATGGTTAGCACTAGGTTAATTGTTTACCATTTACACGGAAATTCCGGTGATTCCATACGGAAAGTAAATGGAACAAGCATATTTCGACGGCCCAACCGGAACTTTTCCGGAATAAACGGTTTGTTTGAAAAGGTTGTCCTCTCTTAACGATTGGAAAGTTTCAACCGGTAAATGTTGTTCCACTTACATTTTTTAAATTTTTTTCACCAGTTCCAGGCTCTTCGTGATTTAACAATTCAAATTATTAAATGGAAAGCGAATAATCCGAATGGGATTTTCTATCCGAAATTTTGCTTACCATTAGCACAATTTCAAACCGGATGGGTTTTACATGTAAATGGTAAACAACCCTATTTTCCATCCAGCAAACTGACCTAACGTCATTTTCGCAAGATAGAAGAGGTGTTACAGGTAAATGGCTATGTAACTAACCCAAACCCTACCCCTACTCTAACCCTAACCTCAACCCTAACTCTAACCCTAAGGGCCATTCCATTTAATATCCACACCCCCCCTACGGATGAGGTCAGTAAAATTTTAACCCCTAAGAAAAAATGATCAAAGTGCCGACACAAAACACCCCTCAGAAATTTGTAAATTTTCCCCTTACCCCTCAGAAAAATCGCAGAGATCAAAGGATGCCGACAGGCTTAACCCCTCAGAAACGACTTTTTGAGTCACCCTTCAGAAAAGCTCATCCGTAGGGGGGGTGTGGACATTAAATGGAATGGCCCTAACCCCTAACCGAATTAATAAAAAAATCCATAAAGAAACGACTTTACAAAATCGATAGGGCGGTTTGCTGGATAGAAAAAAGTGCTCACCAGAGTAAATACCATACAGATGTCTCACTTCTTATTAACTTCAGCGTAAGCGTTTTTCCAGTCCGCATTAGCAAGTGCCCTAAAGAGAAGCCGTCATTCTCTTGAAAACATATTGAAATTTAATGTTGCAGGGGAGCGAATCCCTCTTTTTTGGGCAGTTGCTTTTTTTGCCGAAGTGAGATCTCTGTATGTAATTACTCTGTGCTCTGGGTACGAGATTGCCACATTCTCAAATATTTGGCATTGTTTGAGTGTTTGACACTTATACCTAAACGGGTGTCAGTATAAATTATGACACTTATACGTTTAACTAGTGTCAGTAATTAAAGACGAGTAAAGCGAAATTTCTAGCTTTTAATCTACTCTAGAAGTTTGTGGCAAAATGTTGTTGGAAGGTTTGTTTATTTGCGGTCAAAACGAAGCAATTCCATTGAAAAGTCTTTCCGTACGAGCATTTCTGCAGGGCTATGTAGTAGGATTTCGCTCGACCTTGACCTACGACAACAACACCTCTAATCCACTCGAAGTATTTTTCCGTACGCCCGTCGACGATTCTTACGCCGTCGTTGGTTTAGAAGCCTGCATCGATGGCAGAAAGATCCGAGCAGAGATCCAGGAAAAGGATAAAGCGAGGGAGATGTACCAGGAAGCTATATCAAGAGGGCGTACAGCCGCATTTGGGGAAGAAAAAAAGGGTGACATATTTAGTTTGGTTCTGGGTAATCTCCCCCCGGGCGAGAAAGCTGTGATACAACTCACGATGGTCGGCGAGCTGGCTGTTGAACCCGATGGAGCAGTACGGTTTGTTCTACCAACGGTACTAAAACCCCGGTACACACCTCCTGGGAGTACAGATCCCCTAGCGCCAGAAAGTCCCACTTCAGGAAGTGGCCCAGTTCACCATGCTACAGGACCCCCAGAATATAAATTTGACATGGTGATCAATGGAGCTCCTGGTATTGCAAAGGTGACATCGCCATCCCACGAGATTTGTGTCGAAAATAATGGTCAAAATATTAACGTCTCATTGGCTGAAGATAAACAAACAGATATAGTCATTCTGGTTCAACCAAAGGAAGCTCATAAACCTTTGGTAATCATTGAGCCTTGTTTGTCAAATGGTGAAAATGATTTCCAGAAAAACACGGTCGTCATGGTCAGCTTCTTCCCAGAATTCAAAGGTGACACCTCATGTCTCCAAGCTGCATGTGAATTTGTGTTTGTTATCGATCGCAGTGGAAGCATGCGTGGTTCTTACATCCAAGACGCATCCCAAACACTCTTGCTGTTCCTAAAAAGTATCCCCGAAGGTTGTTATTTCAATGTGATTGGTTTTGGAAGCAGTTATGTACATCTGTTTCCCGAGAGTGTGGCCTACAATCAGAAAAATTTAGAGATTGCAGTAAAACATGCAAAAAACCTGCAAGCAGACCTTGGTGGCACAGAACTATTTGACCCTCTCAAGGACATCTTCAGCCATGCACCCATGAAAGGCTTGCCGAGACAAGTATTTGTTCTCACGGATGGAAGTATTGGTAATACAGAATCTGTGATTAAGTTGGTTGCAAAGAATTCCAATGACTCCAGGTTTGTTTATGTTTTCTCACTAAATTACCCTGGGTACCAGAGCCTCTTGTGGTAGAAGTGAGGACATGATGAGGAGGCTCGGGTACGCAAGCCTCCAGCCTCTCTTTGGTGAGTTTAATATTTGAACTCTACTGTATTTCACGTCCAACCGACATGAGCCAGTTTGTCAATGAAAAGACTGGGTGACATAAATTTAGTCCAATCACAAACAGAGTTCAATTATTGAACTTGCCAAAGTAAGGCTGGAGGCTCGCGTGACCTGAGTCTCCTTGTTGTGTCCTCACATCTATAACCAGGGCCACTGAGACCTTGGCGGGGGCCCGGGGCAAATTTTTTTAAGGGTCCCTATCTCAAATTTTTTTCCAGAAAAACAACAACCCCCCTCGACAACTTTTTAGGGAAAAACTTTTTCTGGACGAGTACATTGTAATTGCTCTCCAGCGACTTTACCTCTATTTTCTCCCCAAAAACACTTTGCCCAAAAAAAACAAATATCTTGCACAGAAATATTTCACCCAAAAAATGACTGGGGCGCAACAACCTGGGGCCCCGGGGCAATTTGGCCCTCCCTCTCTGTGACCATGTCTATAACAAAAGGCTCTGGTACCCAGGGATCAGAACTAAATGAGTAATGTTTAAAAACCTCTGTGTTGCATTGTGCCATACTTTAATTTACTCTGTCTAATACCAGACAATTTTATTCATCAAGGGGTGAGTGCTGGTGCTCAGTGGGTCAATTAAGTAAGATACTGTAAACCTCCGAATATAAGCCCCCCTGAATATAAGCCCCCCCCCGTGTATATGCCCACCACATGTACTAACGCTCACATCATTCCAAATATAAGCCCCCTCCGAATGTAAGCCCACCCGAATATAAGCCCCCCAAATATAAGTCCCCCAATTAATATAAGCCCCGTAATTGCTGCTTAATATTTACACGATTATTTCCCTGATTATGACCGACTTGTTTATGCCTGACTTGTTTATTACTAACACAAAATATCGTCCATGTGTAAGCCCACCCGTATATAAGCCTGTCCCCCCCCCCTTATATAAACCAATCAAAAATTGCTTACGAAAGTATATAAGCCCAGGGCTTATAGTTGGAGGTTTACGGTATCAATTAATTTACAAAATAATTTATATTTTTTGAGGCATTTTTTAAGTTAATTTTTAAAAAAATTGCTGTGGTTCTCCTTTGCATTTGGCTATAAAATTCTTAAATTCTTCAAAACATGTTTTTACCAGTCGAAAGTAATTGCTTTGATGAAAAAAAACCCGGTTTTCGAAAAGTTTGCCATTGGTTGAGGCATTTTTAAAAATTTTAACGGCCATTTTCTAAGACTATGGTTGTGTGTCGTTCTCCCTTTACATTTGGTCATAATCCTAACATATCTGTCTATAGAGGCAGCAATTTCCTTGGGTAGTGATTTCCTTAATAATTTTCTTAATTTATTTTTCCCAAAGGTGTTTCTCATTTGGTATTGGTTCTGGAGCTTCATCAACTCTTGTGAAAGGAATTGCAGAGGCCGGCATGGGTGCTGCAGAGTTTATTACCTCAGGAGAGAGGATGCAAGCTAAGGTAACATTGGCTAAAAATTACAGAAAAATAAAGGGGTTGAAATAAAATGGCCAAGAACTAAAGGGATTTTTGTCCAATTTTATAGCTTTTTTTCCATTTCTGAAAAAGGGGCAAAAAAGGGCAAAACGTAAACTTTATGTTTTGTCTTAGGTTTGCCCCGTTTTCACAAGCGAGTAAAATGGACGAGCATTGAAGAGGTTATAGCCTTTACTTGTTTTTGCCCGTTTTTCAAAAATGAAAAAAGTGGCTGAAAATGGACGAAAAGGTTAGGTGTTAGCCCAATTTAACCATTTTCTTACTTTTTCTTGAATTTTTGCCATTCTTTGAAAAAGTTAAAAATTATGAATGGTAATGGTTAAATACCTTTTGGCCCTTTTTAAGCTTTACTTTTCAAAATAAAATAACAACACGTGGTCAAAAATGGCGAAAAGGCTAACTCCTGAACTTTCGTCCAAACAATATAAAGGCCCTTTCTGCCTCTGGGCCAAAGACTGAACGCGGTCAAAAATGGCCAAAACTAAAGGTAACTGCCTAACTACTTACTGTCTGTCTTTGTCTGAATAATATTTAACAAACATAAAACATTTTCCGTGTTGATATACAGTTATATCACAGAGGAGAGATCTCCTCTGTGGTTGTGTTTTCACACAATTTCGAGTTTTCCCAATCTCCACGAGTGTTGATATAACCACAGAGTAGATAAGACATATGTCTCTACTCTGTGATATAACTACTTCATATTTGTTTTATAATAATATACATAGAAATATTACTCGACTGTGATTGGTTGGTTTCAGTGCATTTAATCCCAAACAGCATACTAATATAACAAAAAGAAATATAAAGAAAGAAATTTTTCGACGTTTCCGTGTTGACATTGAGTTTAATATATCAACACAACTCTTAGCTAATCAGCGTTCGGAATTTACAAATGTTATATTATAAAATAATTTATTAACAGGTGATCCGATCGCTAAAGAAAGCCATGCAGCCAGCAGTTACCGACACCAAAGTCTCTTACACAGTTCCTGATGGTGTGACAGTCACTACTGTACCAAAAAGTTCTCTGCCAGCAATATTTATCGGAGAACGTTTGATCGTCTACGCCATCCTTCATCAAAGCTCGCCGCCTACTGAGGTACAAGAAGGATCCATATGCCTGAGCGGAGATTTACTCGGAGCGAAAGTTGAACACAACATGAAGTTTCAAATTCCAGCTGCCGTGACGAGAGAGCACATGTTGCAAGTCTCGACCATTCATCATCTTGCGGCCAAAAAGTTGATCAAAGAAATGGAATTGGATCTCGAGAGTGGTCAGACGAACTCGTACATAATCCAGCTCAGTTGTGATGCGAATGTCATATCTTCCCAAACAGCATTTATCGCCATTGATGAAGAACGGAAGGAGGCGGTGAAAGGAAGCTTGGAAACTTGGGATATTCCGCAGGATGATGAGTGGTGTGGGCATTCTGCTTTACCGGCTGTGGCTTGTTTCAGTCTGCCGAGTGGTGGTGGTGGTTGTGTTACTGTAGGAGCGAGTGCGCCTCGTTCAAAAAAGAAATCGTTTGGATTTTCTATATCAAAGATGTCTAACCGTAGAGCAAACAAGTATTCCGCAAGTGCGCCATTAGACCGTGAACGCCATCGGGCCAAATCAGCAGGATTTGGTGGAGGATTTGCTGAAGATCAAAACATCTCTACGAAAGAATCTACTCCAACGAGTCCGCTTACAAGTATCATCAACCTTCAACTGGCCAGCGGTGCTTGGAAAATGTCCGCAGAGATGGCAGATGTGATGGCTAAATCCACGGCAGAGATGAAAAACGCGTGTCCAGTGCGTTGCGAAGGTGACATGGAAACAATCTGGGCGACGGTGATTGTCTTGATGTATCTGCAAATTCGACAGTCAAACTTCAGAGATGAATGGGAGTTGATTGCTGGAAAGGCTCAAACATGGCTGACAAAACAGAATCTTCCCGAAGGTTGTTCCATTCAAGTTTTACGTGAAAAAGCAATGGCATTTCTCTCTTGACTTTATTTAACATTACTGTTGAGTGTAGGTATTGGAATTGTAAAGGCACACGTTTGTTTGCCTCTTCCATCCTGCCTCATAATAATAATAATAATTCATGGAAGAAAATATTGGAACCACTGAGTATTTAATAGGCAAAATAAATGCTGAACCATATATATTCGTGAGATAAACGTAGGGCATAGAAACGTTTCGATTTCAAATATTTATTCAATGTCTATTTATAATCTGAATTTCGAATTAATTTGATTCATGGATCCGCAATATAACCACGTGGTTGATGCAAATTATTCTTCGCGGTATAAATGGGACGCGTCTTAATTACGTCACGACGTTTTTCTCCATTATGCGCAAATTATCTAAAGGCCCATTTCCACCCAACAAATTTTTCCACGGACAGAACATTTTCCGAAAATATCATTGTTAAAATTCGAAAATTTTCAACTTCAACATTTTTTTCCGACGGAAAATTTGTGTCGACCAATTACATTTTACAAATTTTTCTTCCGCGGAAAATTTTCTCGAGTGGAAATGAGCCTTCACAGTCTATCGATGATGGAAAAATTTGCTTACAATCACTAGAAGTTGAGATCATGTAGTATTTTCACCGTAAGAAATACAATTATTTGTTGTTGTGTGTTGATATAGACAAGTTATGTCGACCCCATGCGGGAACCCAGCCGTGACTTTCTTCGCAAAATTTTCGTTGAAGGTTTTCGTTTCATATTTTCTTTCTTGTGTCGAAAGAATAGTCATGCATTGTAGTTTTAAAACGGCAAGTTCACTTAGTACTCTTTATTGCCTGATACCGTAAATTTTTCTTTGCCTGGCGTTTGCTTTTTGCCGTGTAACGCGAAGCTCAAACTATTGACTTTAGAAGTCCTTGCGTCAAGTCCCTGTGCATCGGACCTCCTCAATTCCAGCTTTTAGTTTATGGGTGCAGGGGAGGATGTCGAAGGATGGGAAGTACAGTATCATATTGCTGATTATCAAAGAAGTTTTTCCGACCAAATATAATGCTAATTCATTCCACAAACACGTTTTTTGTTGTAACTACGCAGAGGTTCTACTAAGCGATAAAACCAGTATGCTCGCAGGCTATTACCCTAGCCCACCCCGGGTTAGTAACTTTTGTCATTGTTTGCAGTAACCTAGCGAAGAAGAAGGATTTGCAGGATTTTTAAAATTTAGAAAGAACAAAATCACAATGTTTCTTGTTCAAAATCCACCGTCGGGCCCTTCGACACCCCGAGAGCAATTTGTAAACGACGTAGGCCATGCACATCGATACAAAGCGAATATTGAAGGCAGTATGAAGATTTTAAATCGCATGTAAGTTGACCTCTATTTTCCAAATAGTTGTGAAAATGATGAATTTTTGAAGTTTGTACTGCGCTCACAGACGAACAGCGTAGTTTAAATCGCGTTTCTTTTATAGAGAAACTGATTCTGAGATTATGTGCTGTCGTTTTAATCCTGAAGGGAATCTACTTGCTGTTGGTTTAGTCAATGGAGTTACAAAAGTATGATATTTTCAATGTTATTATTTTGTAGGATATTATTAATATTTCGAAGTGTCCATACAGCCGGCTATTTAGTAAATTGTCGGCTATATAGTAAACTGCCGGCTATACAGTAGTGTTTAGTTGAATTTTTATAAGATAAATGGATCCCAACGTTACCCCAAACCCCTCTCTAACCCTAACCTCTCTCTAACCCTAACCTTAACCTTTTGAGAGTTTATAGAAAAGGTGGGAAAAAATGCTAAGTTAGACAAAACACAACCCGACCCAGACCATGTTTCATTTTACGCATGCAGCGCCTTTACCATATACGCTAACAGCAAGCTCGGTAAATCTTAACTTAGTCTTGATGAATGATCCAGAATTCTGTAAGTCGTAGCCACTGTATGCAGATTGATGAAGCTCAGATTTCATTTGATGTTTTTAGATCTACACAGTTGAACCACTGTCATGTGTGTATGTATTACCAGCAGAAGATACTGGCGGCCAGCCATTGCCAGTGACGTGTCTCCGATGGCGACCAAATATCGAGAATCAAAACTTCAAGAATATCTTGTTAGCCACATGTAAAATAGATTACTTTCCAAATGTCATTAAATTGCCGAATTTTTTCCCTGTCAACAGGGATTGTATTTCATTAAACTTTCTTCATTTCTGTATGTTAGATGCAAGTGGTTCTGTGAAGATTTGGCATGTTTCTACTATGGATTGCCTTAGTTCAACCCAGGAGGGTGGTCGACAGGTTCTGGCCTGTGCATTCAATGCCTCAGCATTGCAATACATCACGGCAGGATCTGATACGACCATTAATCTTTATGATGCAACAACCAGACAGAAGTTGCTCAGTTTGGAACCAAGGTAAGATAGTTGTACTGATGGTGGTGGTGGTAATGATGATAATGGTGGTGATATAATGATGAGGATGATGATGAATAAGATGATAATGGTGATGATGGTGAATGAGGATGAGGATGCTAGTGGTGGTGATGATAATGATGATGATTGTGGTGATGATGATGGTGGTAATGATGATGGTGATGAGGATGATGGTGGTGATGATGGTAGTAATGATAATGATGCTGGTTGTGATGATGATTGTGGTGATAATGGTGGTAATGATGGTGGTGATGGTGACAATGGAGATGATGGGGATGGTGGTGATGATGGTGATGATGATGATGATGGTGGTGATTGATGGTGGTGCTGGTGACAATGGAGATGATGGGGATGGTAGTGAGGATGGTGATGATGGTGATGATGATAATGGTGGTGATAATGATGGTGGTGGTGTGATGGTAGTGGTGTGATGATGGATGTGATAATGGTGGTACAATGTTAGTGATAATAATCCTGATCTATATGACAAAAGATTATTTTGGTTAAATGGTTTCAGCACGTCTTTCCTTGTAATGGATGGTCATATGATGAGGATATTCTCTGTGATGTATTTACCAAATGATGATCATGTTTTCCTATCAGGTGGTTGGGATGATACACTGCAGGTCAGAACTATTACTCCCATTCTGTTTTACTGCTTTTCTTAACTCAGTAAGTTGCATTGTGCCCAATGCGTCCTACTTAATCTTAAGATTCCTAATGCCAAAAAGTTTCCCTTGATAAGTAAAATCATCTGGAAATTAGAGAGAGCAAAATAAGTAGCCTATATGTATATACCATTCTAAATTTTGTAAAAGTTTATTTGTCATCATTTTTCCTATGTTTGTAGTGGTGGGACAGTCGAGTGGATTCAAGACATTCCATTAAGTATGTATAACATTTATCTTATAAGATAATAATTTTGACTTCCGAAACGCATTACGATTAGCATTTCTACAGCACAAATTTACATGTGAGTACATGATCAAATGCGCTCTAACATCAGGTATTACGCTTACCTAATTATATACTTCGCCTAGACTATTTTATCTTTACAACAATTGTGATATTATGCTTGTGATGTTACTCTGAGTGTATATCCACACCGGGCAAGCTTGAAAAATATACCTGGCCACGGTGGGAATCGAACCTACGACCTTTGGAATACTAGCCCAATGCTCTGCCAACTGACTACGCGGTTAGTTGGCAGAGCATTGGGCTAGTATTCCAAAGGTCGTAGGTTCGATACCCACCGTGGTCAGGCATATTTTTCAAGCTTGCCCGGTGTGGATATACACTCAGAGTAACATCACAAACATCATATTCACCTGAGTATATCACACCAACACAGAAAAAAATTGTGATATTGCTTTCTTAACTGTGTTTATCTTAACCCACCCTGTCAACTTTCCCTGTGGGAGGAAACCGGAGCACCCGGAGAAGACCCACGACTTTCGGTATAGCGTTGACTGATTCTTTTCACATGAGTCGGTAGTGAGAATCGAACCCACGATCTCAGAGGTGAAGGGCGCTTGCTCTGACATCAATAATTCGTGAAGAAAACACAAAAGAAATCATGAGCGTGAAGGAGTTTGTACATATATCTGATTGTTCTCATCGAGACGTTTCACAAGCTATATATAAAGCATTCACGTCCGTGTTGTATCAGACATAGGGGGCCTACAACCTCTCGTCTTCGGCTGGAGTTTGTATATCTGATACAACACGGCGCCGCTCATGCTTTATCTATATGACTTAAAAATTCTATAATCAGGGCTTTCGGAATTATTCTGCGCAGTAGGCGGGTTGATAAAGTAGGCGTTTGTGGGGGAGTGGTCTAGGGGGGGGGGGTCTAAATTAACTAGGTATATTGATTAGATAGCAACAGCAACAAAACTGAGCTACGTAACAAAATTATAATGTAACCTCATGATTTAAGATGGCAAATGAGTTTTACGAAATGGTAGTCGTTTTGGAAAATAACCAGGCTATATACTGTAAAGTAGACCAGGTTGAGGAAAAATAACTTTGTTTGAAAGCGTAGAGTGGAGGAATGAGAGTAGAATTGATGTTTCAAGTACAAAATAAAGTGACCGGCGGTAAACCTTGTGGAAAGCAAAAAACACATTTGTTTTAACGCAAAAGATATGTCATATGAATCAACTACCATAAGTCAAACGAACCTCATGTGAACGTACTTTTTAGGAGAATTTTTGGACCACATATTTGTGGCGATGCACTGGACATTTTACCAAGTAATAGTAACATACTGACAGGATCGTGGAGAAAAGACAACAGTGTTCAAATTTGGGATTTTAACAGTGGCGAATTGATAAGAGATGTTCCCGATGATTTTAATAGATCTATGGTAGGTTTTTGTTGTTGTGGTGGTGATAATGATGATGATGGTGGTGATGATGATGATGATGATGATGATGGTGGTGGTGGTGGTGGTGGTGATGATGATGGTGGTAATCATGATGATGGTGGTGGTAATCATGGTGGTGGTGATAATGATGATGGTGATGATGATGATGGTGGTGATGATGATGGTGGTGGTGGTGATGATGATGGTGGTGGTGGTGATGATGATGGTGGTAATGATGATGATGATGGTGGTAGTAATGATGGTGGTGATAATGATGGTGGTGGTGATTATGGTGGTGGTAATGATGGTGATGTTGGTGGTGATGATGAAAGTGATGAAGATGTGGTGATGGTAATTATGATGATAATGGTAGTTATGGTAAGAATGATGCTGATTGATGAATATATAATCGATATTCCTCATATCTTTATATAGACATACTGTACGCAGTGGTTACCTGATGGTCAGATTATTGCTGGAGGAAGCGACATGAACATGTTGAGAATGTTAGAACAAAGCTCAACCAGTACAGTGGTAAGACTTATGATTTATCATTCAATATATAAATTGTCATAAATATGTACTTGGCTAAATAGATGCAGCCATGCTGATACCGAATAATATAAACCAACAGTATAATAGAATAAACAGTGTCCCAGATTGGCTAAAGATGCATTTGCCATACCACATTTGTTACATCATTCTATAGTCTATACTGCTATACATTTATACACTATTACGATGGATGCGCTTATAATTGCATTTCTGAGCTCGTATTTACAGTAGAGGTAACATTCTTTCTATTGGTTAGAATTTTTTCCTATGAAATTCTCCTTATCTAAATTGTTACAAATATCTCTTTCTTGGGACCAATGGTCCCCGTGGTCCGATACTTTGTCCACCCCTGGTTTAGCCTATTGGTTCGTTTTTAGACAATTGGTCGTATGGTAGATCTACCTCGCGCCGTGTACACGGTGGACAACGATCGCTCTGGTCCTAATCCAAGGATTGCTGTTGGTTCTTCAAACAGTATTTATATCGTACAACGCTCATAGTGAGAGACTAAGATGAGAAGTATTTAAACTTTGTTGTAATTGTGTCTTAACTTCCTGTGTGACATGATCGGTACGCGCAAAAACGCACAAGTTGTAACGAACCCGCGGCGGACTTGTAGCAATGCTGTTCCAATTAACAACTTGTCAGCAGGGTGTGTTCACACTGCTTGTTCCCAGCTTGTTGACAAGTTGTTGACAACTTGCTATATACAAGGTTGTTGAGCTCAACAAACTTATTACAAGTTGTATACAAGGTTGTTGAGCTCAACAAACTTGTTACAAGTTTTATACAAGGTCGTTGAGCTCAACAGACTTGTTACAAGTTGTTTCAACAAATTGTTATCGTCCTGCAATTGAAAAAATTGTCAACAAGTTGTGAGTGCGACCTTGCAAGGAGGGGGGGGTTAGGGTATATATTTATCCGGCAACTTGATAAAATAACAGCATTGTTACAACTTGTTGAAAAGCTTGCTACAAACCTGTTGCGGCGAACACATCTTGTTGACAAGTTGTGAGATTTTTACGTGTGTGCTTTTGTAAAGTATACATTGTTTCATTATCGGCATTATGTACACCAAAAAATCAGTTAACCTTAAAAGTGAACTGGAAATAAAGTGCTGTATGAATGTAGGAAAAACAATATGTAATTACAAAAGTGTGTTATTAATAGATGTTTATTTGAGGTGGAGCCTTTACCTAAGTTATTTTCATGAATGTAAATATGAAGTGTTTTAATATTAGAAATATATTACTTGTTTTTATATAACATGGTTGTTCATTTATTAATTGTTTATTATTTATTATGTCTTCAACGATGGTAGCTTGGACGGTTTCTGAGCCAAATCTTGACAATTACTTCCTAATAAACTAAAATTAAAAGCAACTTTGATATCAGTAACATTTTCAAATGATTCCAGTTTTTCTTCCAAGTCGCTCCGTAAGAATATGAGCGATGCAATGTCCCAATAAATACCCTCTGGCTCCAGGGTATATCTATTCCATTACTACAGTAAAAGTGCGAAATTTCCGCTATACAAACGTTTCATCGCTGACACGCAGACCCCCCCCACACAAATTATAGAATTCTCTGCTCGCAGGGCTCTTTCGGGACAAAATAATATGCATACATGAAGTAGCTCCCTGTGGTGGATTCGCGGAGATTTTTGGCGGGAAATATTTTCCAAAATGGCGTCCGAAGAGATTGAAACGATGGATATTGATTGGGAAGAAAAAGCAAGCAGTTCAAACGCTAAAACTGAAACACAAAGCTCTACCGCTGCTAAACGAAAAGGTTTTCAACTTCCTTGGTAAGATTTTGAAATAACTACAGAATTTCATGTTATTAATTTTATTTAATTATAAAAGTTCAATGCAATCTTATTGTTTAGGCCACTACAAGTTAATCTTTAGTTTCTGGTCCGCCGCCCGCGTCCTTTCTTCGCAAAGTATTATTTCAGGACTATTTTGTTGCTTACAATTAATTTCTAGTTCTTGAAAATTTTCGCGAAGGATTTAACTTATAGAACAATAAATATTCAATTTACACTAAAAACATCTAGCAAAATGTAGTAAAACCGCTGTTTTATCAAGATTACGAGGTAAAAAAACTAGAAATATTAATAGATCATTTTGATATGTAAAATCCTTTGTAATCTGTCATACATGTCGATTTATAAATAATATAAATGCAATTTATGTAAAATTTCATAACATTTTGATACAATTAGCATGAAAAGGGACAAGAAAGACCACAAAAATGTGGGCAAAGCCACAATTGTAATTATGTCCTATAGTCCTAACCACCCGCCCGCCCGCGTCCTAAACGAAGGTAATGCCGGACCAGAAACTAAAGATTAACTTGTAGTGGCCTTATATAAAATGTTTAATAATAATTATGAAATATTATAAATAGGATTTTTAACGGACTGGTCACTTGGTAATTGTTTATATTTATAGGGTTGAAAAGTACAGACCAACAAAGTTAAAAGATATCGTTGGGAATGAAGACACTGTTAGTCGATTGCAGGTATATTAAATATTGTGTTCAGTGTCTGGTAGGTTTTTGTCGTGGTTGTTTGATGGTGGTGGTATTTATGGTTGTATTAATGATAGTAATGATGATGATGATTGATGATGGTAATGATGATTGATGATGGTAATGATGATTGATGATGGTAATGATTGATGATGGTAATGATGATGATTGATGTTTATAGTGATAAAGATTTTGATGATGGTGGTGATGGTGATAAATATGGTGGTATTAGTGGTGATGATGATGGTGATAAGATAATTGTAATGGTGGTGATGAGGTTGATGGTTAAAAGATGATGGTGATGGTATTAATAACTGGTGATGATGATGGTGGTAAAAATGATGGTGACGGTATTACTGGTGATGATGGTGATTATGATGATGGTGATAAAAATGATTGTAATGGTAGTGATGAGTTGATGGTTATAAAGTTAATGGTGATGGTATTACTGGTGATGATGATGGTGATAAAAATGATGGTGATGGTATTAGTGGTGATGATGGTGATTATGATGATGGTGATAAAAATGATTGTAATAGTGGTGATGAGGTTGATGGTTATAAAGGTGATGGTATTACTGGTGATGATGATGGTGATAAAAATTATGGTGATGGTATTAGTGGTGATGATGGTGATCATGATGATGGTGATGATAAAGATGATTGTAATGGTGGTAATGAGGTTGATGGTTATAAAGATGATGGTGATGGTATTAGTGGTGATGATGATGGTGATGATGGTGGTGGTAAAGATGATTGTAATGGTGGTGATGAGGTTGATGGCGATAAAGATTATGGTGATGGTAATGATGTACACCATGGTTTGCAATTAAGAATGAACAGTTAAAAAAACATTGTCTATTGTCACATGAAACTTGATTTTTGCTAGACATTTTTGGTGTACAGAACTTGATTATTCAATATGTCTACCCAACGCACACCTCTGTCCACTGATCTATATAAATCGTAATCGACGACTGGGTACGAGTCAGTACTTGTCTGGCTTTGGACATGGTAGTTGATATTATGTTAAAAGAACTTAATTTCTATTAGTTTCTGTTGAAGCAAGAACCTTCACATCCAGTTTCAACAACTGTAACTTAAACAGTGGCTCCATTGCGCGCCTATTTCTTCAAGTGCATCGTATTTTTTTCTAGGTTTTTGCTGAACAGGGAAATGTACCGAACATTATTATTGCAGTAAGTCTACCGTCTGCAGTTTTTAACATACAGTACTAATAATGCAACCCCATTTCCAGATGACTACTTACTGCCCTTCACTATGTACATGTTATGCTATGCTACAACATAAATTTTATGTAGGGGCCACCAGGTTCAGGAAAGACAACCAGTATTCTATGTCTAGCTATGGCATTACTTGGTGGTTCTATTAAAGAGGCAGTTTTAGAACTGAATGCATCAAATGATAGGTATGCAAGAGAAAAAGTATATCAAAATCTACACATCATAT